TGACTAGGTGCGTTCTACTAAGTTGCCCTGACAACAAGACCAAGTTGCGACAATGAGGTAAAAACCCACTTCTATAAATCCAAAGGAGACCTGGACCATATCAAAGGCCACATCTTGATCTTCATATCTTACTCTACATGGTTGCAAATGAGGGTAGTTAACTTCCTGAACCGTAAATGCGTTCGGTGGCAAGTTTTTTATCACAGAAAAACTAGCGTACGATCGCTTAATGCTAAATCATGTATCGGCTTGTGCTATTGTCTATTGTGTGTATGTAATGCTCGTGTCATGGGATGTATGATAGTCCGAGCTAGACACGGAGCTAATCCAGCCTCCTTCTCTTGCTCAGTGGCTCTTCCTGATCCCCCTCTTGCCCACTTTCTTTACGTCTATTCAACCGCCACAAAAAGTCCCTACTTAGTTTTCTGCACTCGTTCCTACTATTCAGGGCGTTGGCTGTTTTATTCACTTCTATAGATTCACTAATCTTGCGCTTTGACGTGAAGTCACCGTAGTCCGCAAAACGTTGTGTTTTGTCGCAGCTTATTGAGTGTCCTTTATTGGCAAAATGTGTTCAGCAAGGTCCGATTATTGGAACCACAGACCTTCACAAGCGGTTTTGTGATCGCATAGTCTCTTGTGAATGGGTCGACAGGGCTCCCACGCATATACTTTACCACATAAGCATAAAACGTTATGACAGCATGATCTAGAAAGAGGGTCTGAATATTCTCTAAATGAATAAACTACTGAGGAAAGTGTTAATCACTCTTTATACTTTGCTTTTATGCTGTCATGAAGACAAAAACAGGAACTGAGTAGAATTGTCCAGTTTTCCATCCCGCGTCTGATAGCAAACTTCTTTTTCCGTCCTAACTACAGTTAATATGTAATTGTCTATTAATCCTGATGGATAATTGCTTTGAAACAGTATATCCCTCAATCTACCAATCTCCTGGTCCCTATGATTCGCATATGCTAGAAACAGACTCTTTAGTATCAGTGACTTTATTACTCTTATTTTTAATTTATATGTAGGGTTATAGAAGAAATTAATAAGGAAAATCGCGTGAGTGGGTTACCTAAATACGTCTCTACCTAAGTTATTACATTCTTTGCACATTAATTCATCCAAAAACGACTATTGATTTTCCTTTTTTAACTTCATGGTAAACTTAGTATTAGCATTTTTTCTATTTATTAGCTCAAGGAATTCCACCATATTATTTTTGTTGTGTTGCCGAACAGCAAAGCAATCGTCAATATAGCAAACTAATAACTTTAGAAGTG